AATAAACTTTAGATTTGTGTAGAAAGTTATTTAACACAATAATTATACCTTCACTGTGGTCATTTTCAGTTAATGTGCTCAGGTTAACGTAATTTTTAAACGTTACGAAATTTATTTCTCCACGAGAAGGTAACAAGAACATCGAAAAGGAGTTTTTCATTGAAAAGAAATATAAAAATGAATAAATTATAATATCTGCTGTTGTAACAAATTAACAGGAGTATATATTTATAACAAAATAATGGAAATAAATAAATCATACGTTATTACTATAGAAATTCAAAAATTCTCCAAGTGTAATTAGTCGAAGTTCGCCTGTCCTTGATAACGACTTCAGGCTAATGACACCGAGGCTATATAAGGACCCCCTAATTGTTTCGGAGCACATTTGTTCTCTGCATACCGAAGTGTACACATCGCGTAAATTTTTATCCGAGGGTTCTGAGATTTGAATAGAGTGGTCGAGGGTTACTAGCTAGCCTTATTAAACTTATATACAATAGAATCAAATAGATTTTCAATTATTAACAACTATTAGAAAATTTTCGGTTTATTTTATTGTTAATAGACATTGAATATTCTCATTAGAATTCGATATTTCCAAGTTATTTCGAGACTTTAGACAAATCAATACTAAAATTTTATAGTTAAAAGAGAATACCAATTGTGCATAGCTATTATAATTTTGTTTTTTAAATTATTGATAGACATTGAATATTCTCATTAGAATTCGATATTTCCAAGTTATTTCCAGGCTTTAGACAAATCAATTCTAAAATTTTATAGTTAGAATAGAATACCAATTGTCCATAGCTATTATAATTTTGTTTCTTTAATTATTGATAAACATTGAATATTCTCATTAGAATTCGTTATTTCCAAATTTCTTCGAGACGTTAGACAAGTCAGTACTTCAATTTTATCGTTGGAATAGAAGACCAATTGTCCATAGCTATTACAATCTTTTTTTTTTTTTCGTTATTGATAAACATTGAATATTCTCATTAGAATTCGTTATTTCCAAATTTCTTCGAGACGTTAGACAAGTCAGTACTTCAATTTTATCGTTGGAATAGAAGACCAATTGTCCATAGCTATTACAATCTTTTTTTTTTTTTCGTTATTGATAAACATTGAATATTCTCATTAGAATTCGTTATTTCCAAATTTCTTCGAGACGTTAGACAAGTCAGTACTTCAATTTTATAGTTGGAATAGAATACCAATTGTGCATAGCTATTACAATTTTTTTTTTTTTTTCGTTATTGATAAACATTGAATATTCTCATTAGAATTCGATATTTCCAAATTATTTCGCGACGTTAGACAGATCAATACTAACATTTTATGGTTAGAATAGAATACCAATTGTCCATAGCTATTACAATTTTTTTTTTTTTTAGTTATTGATAGACATTGAATATTCATATTAGAATTCGTTATTTCCAAATTATTTCGCGACTTTAGACAAATCAATACTAACATTTTATGGTTAGAATAGAATACCAATTGTCCATAGCTAGTACAATTTTTTTTTTTTTAGTTATTGATAGACATTGAATTTTCTCATTAGAATTCGGTATTTCCAAATTATTTCGAGACTTGGATCAAATTCTATACTACTGATTCATTTATCAGCTATCTCCTTGAGCTAATTACAAATCTTTTTACTATATTGTTCCATCATATAGTAAGTTTTAAACTCTAAACTTGTATTCAACGAAGATTGAGATTTTACTAATTAAACTTTTTCTCCTACAGCTTATTCCTCTCTATTCCATCAATAATCTATACATCTCTACTATCTAGTGGAACTAATATGAAATTTTTTCACAACTTGTCTTTGCTATTTAACAATTTGCTTTGTTCTGTTTCTTGTTTTTTCTTAAGATAACAGTCAAGACCTTGAGAAGCTTGAGACCTTGAGAAGCTGGAAACTTTGTGAAGCTGGAAACCTTGAGATCAAAGCCATGCTGCAATGCTCAGCTGAGTGGTGAGTCGCATGCCTTAATTTTTTGGTATTTGGTTGTATATTTTGTGTATGAATATGTCGAGTTCGAATACGAACTCCTACAGTATTGTGTACATTCAGCAAATTCCCTCATATTTACCAGTCTCTTGTAAAACTAGTACATACTTTACGAAATTTTTTAATTATGTTCACCGCAGAATTCAGCGTTCATTATCATTTTCACGAAAATTCGCAGAATCTGGTCTATTCTCTCCTGACGACTTCCTAAAGGACAAAGAAAAGAAAAAAAAAATTGAAAACGCCTAGGGTGTGAGTTGAACTTCAGAAAATGCCAGCATATTTAAGATTCTGCAGGCGTGTTCTTGAAACAGGAATACCTTTCTTACAATTCCCTCGAACGTTGCGGTATCCGGCGGATTCCTTGAGAATTTCTGCAAGTGTATGGAAATCACAATGGTTTACTGTAGTTCCGGGAGCAGCTTAAATGAAACGAGCAAGGAAAGTAATATTACGAGAGGAGGAGGAGCGAGCGTGGACACCGATGAGGGTGGCGGAGTACAGCGGAGATCCCTACAGTTAAAGGCTGCTGGAAAGTCCAATGATCTCTAAGATGTCCCTTGGTGAACACCATTTCTTCGAAATAGCTTATACATAGCTGAATCCTAACTAGTACCCTACTTTCGCATCGCTGTAATTTCAACTTTGTATGCATGAACATTGGCAACTTTATAGATTCTTCGATACATCGAACTTCCCTTTTCCGGAGGGTGCAATGTGCAAGAAAACATCCCATAAGGCGTCATAAAACGCGAAAGTGGGTTTAAAAGTTCGCATCGTAAACCTTGATTACCCAAAGCTTTGGGAAAATTATATTTTTGTTTGTTTAAAAAAATTTACATTCACGTACATTTTCAATCGGGACTGAGAAAAATTGAATCGAGGGTATTCGTGGAATTTTCAAATCGAATTGGACAAATTTAATAAAATTTCTCCCAGACGAAAAATTTTCATTAGTTTTAAAATTTTAGTCCTAAAATTTTCATAAGTTTCAGAATTTCTCAGTCTCTAAAATTTTCGCAAGATTTAAAATTTCTTAGTCTCTAAAATTTTTACAAGATTTAAAATTTAGAATTTTTAAAATTTTCGTAGTCCAAAATTTTCTAAGCTTAGGAATTTTTAAAATTTTCATAATCTTGGTCATGATTTGGACTTTGATCTCCCTTAAATAGTAACTCAAGGAACATGTTCATTTGTTTAAATAAAGCGTCAACAATTCACCGACTCTCGAAGCATCGACGGCGTTAATATTCCCAAGCAGAAATGCTTATTTATTCAAATCCACGTATCACGCACTGTTTCAATTTTCAACGCTGTACTGACTCCCACCTCCTATTTCTACTTCGCAGGGAAACGAGCAAAGTTTTCGTAAGACGAGCAAACAGAGATTCGATGGCTCGATTCTATCGTTGCTAGTTCGAAGGAATTTCGAAGTTACGGGGACAAGTCGATGAAATTCCAACGTTTCCACCTTTTATCCACCAAATTATCGTCTTAGTTTTCCTTTTCTATTTCGATAACGCAGGAACGTAGTTAAGATCCAAATCTTCTCAATCCTGGCCCGAACACATTTTCCTTTTATCTCTCACGTAGAACATTCTTGTATCAAATTTTTTTTCCTTTCAATTTCGTTTCGATCGGGTCGTATCTCTTTTTACTGGTCACAGTTTGTCCTATAGAGACACTTTGATGACTCGTAGAAAAGTTTGTGGCTCGTGGAATTTACGCGAAAAGTCGACGACTCTGAAATCTCTCTGTAAACGTCTATTTTTGTGGAGAAATATATTATCATTGAAACGTCTGCTGGGAATTCTCGTGGTGGTTCTCTGTTGACGTGTAATAAGCACTCGAATCCCAAGTTCACTGCGTTTCACATGTTCTTGGCAACTGTTTGCCGAAGCCAGTGTTAGGTGTTCTATATATCAAGTGCTATTTGCAAATTCATGCGGTGGTATCTCGTCTGAAATCCTCTGAAATTTTTCGATTTACTATCGTCGATCGTGCACACTATGGAGCAGAAGCTCTAAACTATCTGTAGAGTGCTTTTGAGATAACAGAAAATTTTTAGATTTTCCCTGATAATATTCGATAACGTTGCAAGTATTAATAGTAATTAATTTTATTCAAATAAATTTTGACACAGAACAATTTTTTAAGATAATAAAAAATTGGTTGAATTTTTCTGAAAATGATCAACAACCATTTGCATAGTACTAACACGAACGTTGCAAGTATTAATAATAACTAATTTTATTTAGATAAATTTTAACACTGAACAATTTTTTAAACAAACTCAAAATTGTCAGATTTTCTTTAATTTTTAGTGAATTTAATTTCCGCCCGACACTTTATTCGCCCTATAAAATTTCATATTTAACGAGCATTGCAAATTTTATAATAGAAACGAGGAGAATTTCTCTGAATCAAATTTACCCGGTGATTTTTAATTTTTAATTTCCAAGGGACTGTATTTTGAATAATACTCCATTTTCTCCACTGTGATTTACCATGTTGTTTCGGACAAATCCGATACCTATATCACTAGAGCGTTGGGATTTTCAATTTACGACACGTTATCGACTTGCACGAATTGTGTGGGTGGTTGCAAGTAGATCTCACGTTTTCCAAATTGTTTGTCATCGGATCTTTAATTTATCTCCACGATTTATTCTCCAACTACACACCGAAACCAACATTTTTCTGATTCCTTTCTCTTAACTACCTGTGCAAAGTATTCTCCATCGTACGTATCAATTCTCCCCCAAAAAAATTCCTGTTCCTTTTATCAAGTATTCCTGATATTACGTATCAAGTTGCCAGTGAAACGGAATTTCTTTACAACTCCACGTTTTTCCATTTTCTTCTTTTCAATTACGACAAATTGAATATTTCGCTCGGAGGGTTCTCCCAGATTTCCCGCCAAGTATTTCACCGCGTATTCTCCATTCGACATTTCGCGAAACAGACTTACCGCGTGCCCTCGGTTTCGTTAATAATTTCAAAACAATATTGTCGTAGGCCGTTTCCTCCGCGACGCCAGAATCCTTCACCAGTTTCTCTTTGATAGCGATGCATATGTCGTACTTTCCTAATAACTCCTCCAATTCCTCGAACGCCTGTAATCAGAAAAAGTGTACGCCTTCAGAGAACCAGTCGATACTTCCTCTTCTTCCTCTTTTTATTGCTTTGCATCGCGAGGATTTTAAGAGAACTTTGAGGCAAAAGGGAGGGAGAACGAGAGCTCGTTTCAAAGAACACAATCTGCTGGGCGAATCAGAGATGTTTAATAGAAAAATACGTGCTTAAACGCGACATCAAGGGTGGCTGGCCTCTTCAGGGTGTATTGTAAACGGACCGTGAAAAGAGAAAAGGGAAATCGAAGTGCGTCGAATCGACCCTTTTATGTCGGAATTCATTCCCAACAGCGAGTCTCTTCTTCTTCGTCGTTGGCGCAGTAAGAAGTGTATCGTGTTTTTATTAAAAAACAAGAGGAAGAAAACTCTTCTAAGGTCGATTTCGAATCGCGAGATCTCCGAGGAGAGGTGAACAGTTTAATTCGCGACGGTGAAACGACGACGATATCGATTTCCGTTTATGCTAAACTTCTCTGTCGTACTTCCGTGTTGCTCGACGCGGTGTTACACGCTTCTGATTTTCATCTACCGACAAATTGCCGCTATTCGATGATCCGTTCCGACGGAAATAAATTACGGCGCTAGCACGGCCTGGTTAATATCACCTCTTAGATGTCAAACACACCCGTCCCTGCCGATTACGCCAGAGATTAATTTCTCCGATGCGGTTTCGGACAAACATTGCTTAGAAATTGACGCGACGTTCGCGATGGTCGCGTGTTTCTCTTTTAATTTTGCCCGATAAGAGAGTTTGTGTGGTGAAATCTTTATCCGAGCGACGGTGTAATGGTAATTCTGGAAAATTCAGGTAGACTAACTCTTCTTCTGTGACGTACTGTAAGTACATTTTTAGCTAATGTTCGATTTTTACGGGGAAACGACGTTTTTAATATTTAACCATAGATCTGAATTGTGATTTTATTGTGACAATTATATGAAGAATTTTGGAAGGTTTAGTATTTGAGTACATTTAATCGATAGCATGGTGATAGTATCACGTTATTTTCTGATTTTTTGTGTAATATTAGAAATACATTATTTTTGTAAAATATTCTTCATCGCTAATTAAAATAGTTACGTTATTATTTTTGTGAGATAGTGATTTAATTAATGAAATTGCCAGGTAGTCTTGAACTCATTCAAGCATGGCTAAAAGAAATAGGAATATATATAGGTACAGTGGAGAAAAAAACTTTGATTAAAGTGGTGCAATCACATTGCTACAAATTCACACTTTCTAAATTTGTTTGTACATTTGTACAGCTGGCTCTAATTTGCATTCACTTGCATACACTCATTAATTACATTCACATTTGAGTTAGATTCACGCAAATTTGGAATAATCCTGAATAAATTGACATTCAAACAATACAAAAATGATTTATTCACGGAATAAAATAATCAACAACATTAATAATCATTATTTCCACATTACGTTAAAACGAACAATTCAATCGCAATCAAATTACTCATCTCGATCACCATTTCAATTTAACACTGTTCCATTAAACTTGTAACAAAGATAGCGTACCAGTGTTCGTTACGCTGTGCGTAACAAGTATCGCAGAAATTTGCAACTCTAATTAGAGAGATTGTGTAGCAGATGAAAAGAACAGACGGGCGGAGAAATGTAATTTCCAACTCTCATTTTTTCGGTTGAATCAGCTTCTAATGACGATAATAATGCGCACTCCAGGCCAGGCAAGCCACGCGAGGACAGGTACGATATTAAAATAAAGTATGCAACGTGTTCACAGTGTAGCGGTGAAGGAAAAAAGGAGAAAAAAAGAAAATGGTACATTTTCATGCGTCACACTCTGAGAGCGATTCAAGGCAGGCAGGCACTGGGAGCAACGACAAGACAGAAATCACCAGAGGGTGTCGTTAAAGATTCAACAGAATTATTAGACTAACGCTGCTACGCTACCTTCGCTCCTCTACCCGTTCTACCATTTTCTTCTTCGAGTGTACGAGCATTTTACGCTCCCCTTTTCTTTTATTCTTACGAGCCAGCCATTTTTCGTGAATCATGGCGAGAGCAAAGGGTTTCAACGAGCCGTCCTGCGTGTTCATTTCTCTCTCTTTTTCTCTCTTCTTTTTCAGTTCGATGTAATGAAAGGAACGATATCATTACTGTAATGTAAGGAATTCGTCACTCGAGTCGCGTAGAAATGAATGGAAATTATTATTGTAAAAACGTGACTTGCCAAAGATTTTTTATTCCAAATGTTTTCAGTGTTTTAATGTTATAAGGAGAATGGTGAAAATTGCGTGTTTTAGGCTGTTTTTTGACTAGTAATTAAGGGAACGAGGGAATGTTAATTGGAAGGAATACTCACATTCTTTTTTATGCAGAAAGAAGTCTATATTCGAATTGTTAGAGAAATAATTAAATTAATAGTGTAACAGCAAGGAATGTATTCTAAAATAATTTTTGAATTTAACTTACAGTTAGCAATGGTTGACTTAAGTTAAATATACTTTGCATTCATATTACTTGAATAGTGAATGTGTTGAGGAACTCAATTGTTACAAGAATGTAAACTTAATTTATGAGAAGAAAATACGCAGAAGAGGCCCTGAATAATTTTTGAAAGCTATAATCTTTTGAAATTCCATCATCATTCTTATCAACTTCTCTGAAATTTTGTTTCTCTGAGAATTTTCTTATCGATTCGGAATTAATAACATTATATTATTAATAACTCTAAACTTATGGTTGTACACATAAAGAACGGAGAAAGTGAAAGCCAGTGTATTAAACTATTCGAGTTCTTCTTTTCGACATTTCCAGGCCTGTCTTTTTGTCACGTCTAATGGCTTTTAGTCTTCGCCGCATTTCTCGAGCACTTAACGCGCAGATGGAAGTTATTCATTTCTGAACTTCAATCTTCAACTTGGTAGAATGCATTATAATGCGGTAATGCATTCTTCGTTATTCATTAAAAATGCATTAAACACGAAGCAATACATCTTTTTCATTCTATCAATTTGCAACTGGTAACTGTTTCTTCGCTCCCGTACAAAAAATCATTTTACCTCTGTACGATATTCCACAGGTGTATTCAATGGTTATCGAGAACGATGCTTAATTTTTCATCCTACCCTTCCATCACACAGTCATTTCGAATTCCATTGTTGCCTCGTCCAGGGTGTAATGCATAAAAATGAAATGTTGCATCCTCGAGTTGCAACAAGAATATTTCTTCCCCGACGTGGCCCGCGCGAATGCGGAGGGAAGAAAAGGGCGTGCATAAGTCAATGCTGAATCAATATCTGGGTCAATGGCGCTCCGTTGGCCGTACACCTGTCCATTGTTTCGCGGTGGAAAAGCACGTGACGAGTTGCGATAAATTACAGGCGAAGTAGACGTCGCGAAGTACACTTTGACTTGCACACGTGTCTACTGGGTGGTCCAGAAGAAAGAAATCCTCAAACTTCGACAGAATATAAAAGATTTTGGAAATTTAAAAAAAGTTTTTCAGAACTATTATAGTTCAAAATTTGTCTTTCATTCGTAAAGAAAGTCTAGTTTAGTCACTCCAATATGACACTAAGCATATTAGCATGTATGCAATGACATTTGACCGAGGATAAAGAATTTCTCAAAATGGTATATGATTCCATTCAACGAATAATTCAACTTCTTATTGTATATGTACGTGGAATAATTTGTCACGATCCGTCAAGATTAGCCTTGATATATGCAGGCTGTTATCATCTCGTGATCACCCTATATATTCTTGCCTCTTCCGTTGTTTTCAACCGACCTGCCCTCCGCTTTTGGATCGTGCGAAAATTCAATTTAGCCGTATACATAAACGCCAATTTTGCACCATTACAGACGATCAACTGTAATGGATACCGTTTCGAAAGAAAGCGGAGGGAAGAGATGAGAGAAGGTTGTTGAAATAAAGGGGAGGCAACCCCTTGAGTCGTGCCTCGCTGAATATTTATCAGCCTCGAGATCTTTCTGTATTCGTAGCGTTTCTACTTGGGTGTAAAATTTTTGCAAAATGCTTCACTGTTGAGGATCTCACACTTTTTTGTGCGATATGGAATGTGGAATGTCTAATCATTCCCATAATTGATTACTCAACGATTGACCGAGTGTTGAAGAGTTGAGTAGTTTCTTTTTAACTTAATATTCGTAGCATTCTTGTTAAGTTACTATTGAGGAATGTGGAATCAAGAAGAATGTGACATTCCACATTACACGGCTTAATATTTTTTTTTTAGTGTAACTCGATGTCTTTTTTTCGACGTGAAGGAATGTTATTTAGATGTGAAACTTCGAGATAACATGGTCGTCAATCTTTTTCACGCTCGTTATCTCTCACAGGTAGCATCGAGATTTCAGCGTTCAGCTTTCGAGATCAGAGAGCCTTCAAGGTTTCAAGTTTTTCATCTGCAAGCTTGTAAAAATCAAAGTTCTCTGCTCCAGATTGAAGTTTTTTAAGCTGAAGCTTTTTCACCTTGAGTCTTGAGATTAGAATATTTCAACCTTGAACTTCTAAAGTTGGGACGTGTTGAATTGTGCTTTTAACGCTTGAGACTGTCGGCCGTGAGTTTTTAAGGTCAAAACATTTTCCACATTTATTTCTTTCACAATTTAGTCTTACGTAGAATAGTAACGATAGTACATCGTTAGGAAGAATTGAAGGAAAGTGTCTGTTATGGATGGTGGCTTTGGAATAGTCCTATTTCTCCAAGCAAAGTGTACTTGTACAGTAATTTTGCTATATTAAAGCTGCTTTCACGTTGAACATCTTTCTCGAAAGCAAAAGCAAGAGGAAGATGAAGGTAGATGAATGTGGAACGGAAGTGAGGCTTACAGCGACGATTTAAGCTCGCTGAATATGTATTAGAATCTACAACCTTGTGTACTTGCAGTTTTTCCTATCATTCTTCAGTAATCTTGAATAATCATGCATTATCAACTTTACATTATGAGTGCACATTTTATGTAAAAATTTCTTAAA